TGAAGAAATTAGCCTCAGCTTTGGCTGGTGCAGCCCGCCTTCCAGGTTGGGGCCCAAGGGATGAGAATGGTCGTTGGCTAGAGACGCTGAGAGATATGGCCCAGAATAGAAGTTAGTGACGCGAATGCTATACGGTCTGCCTCTTGAAATCTAGTGCCCCATAAAAAAGCGATAAACTAACACAAAAAATATCAAAAAGTGAAAGGTGGAACAAACAAAAACATTGCTCTTCTTGTTATTCAACTTAACTGTCTGACCCCTTTTTTCTCTGCTGTGTATCCAAACTTCCCGTATTCTGTTATTCTTGTTGTTGCCTTGGCACCGGCTTACGAGCAAGCCGGTGATATATATAGATGTCTCGTGCAACCCTTCTGTCACAACTCGCGTTGATCACGTGCCCGTGAGGTTCCGTGCTTCGGGTCTCCATCCTTTTGGACATGGTGCACAGCACAACACATCGCATTTTGAAGCGCAACGGTTACAACTGCTAATGAGGCCATCTGATAGATAGACTGTTGATTGATGGTTGTCCCGCACCTATGGGGGTTCTGTAAATGGTTTTCCGGACTTCTCAACATACAGCTGACAATGTGCCATTAAGTTGTCTTCTCGGAGGAATTCACATTTCATATTTACTCTTTGTGATCGGGTACCTTTTTATTACACAACGGTGTATAATGGGCAGCAGACGGGGTGGAACCCATAGTCATGAAGACCTGCTGTTCAGTGATGGTAACCGGCAACCTAAGCCCCGGGACTTAATGTGGCGAACCACATAAGGCCCAGCTAGGAGCCGGTTTGTGCCGTTTCAAATCCGCAGCAATCCTGTCTGATGTATGTTGTAGGTCGCACATGGGCGCATATATGCCATCTAGCAGACAAGCCTGGCTCATTTCGTAATGTTGCAAACCGCCTTGCCGCCGTGCATTACAACCTACCTCTTGCTAAACCTCGGAGATTATACTGTGCTGCTTTGCCCCTCTTTCCACGGCTCAGTGTGTCATCTTTTTGACCGGATCGGTCGGTACACACCTATTCGGCGCTCCTTCAGGCCAGGTCTTGAACTCCCATTCGTGAGGCCACCTGAAAGCGAAAGTGCATTGTTGCAGGACGACTTCACCTGAGGCTTCCGACCATCCGCGTTAACATTCTGACACTCACTTCCCGTGTGTCGATAATGGCAACTTTAATAACACCGACAACAACAGTGTTGCGTTCCACGTTGTTCTAGTTTGAAAATATATGCCAAGAAAACTTGTAGTTCGTTTTTGCACACATTCTTTCTGAACCGCCCAACCATGTGATTCACATTTCGAACTTTTGATGAGCCTAACGTGACTGGTAAGACCATGGAGCACTGTGTAAAGACTGAAGTTCGTTTCGATCGCTGATTTCCAGTTAGTTGTGTCATGCATTATTAATGCACGGTTCACGCGTGCCCCTATATATCTTGTCGCCCAGTCGAGCCAGTCTGTTTCCGGACCCGAGTGTTGTTTTCGTGCATCTCTCCTTGTGAGGTTTGAGATAAGTGCTTTTCCATTCCCCAGATGAGCTACATGCCTTTGGTGTAAGAAAGAATCCACGATCAACCCCGGATATGGGTTTTCGTCCCTCGTTCCCATAAAAAATCCTCTCTTCGGTTGGGCTAACCGTAGGATACCTTAAGAGATTCCATGAGATTTTTTAAACGATGACTAAGTCTCGTTTGTTAGGTGGACAGTGATCATGGTAGTACTTGTTGTAAGCACACGGAATCATCTCGAAACTGGATTCTCAAATGATCGTCTTCTGATAGCGCTTCTCGTCCATATGGCGATTCCACAGGTAGTAAAATAGATTACAGCTAAAATCATGTGGGAGTTCAGTTATTATGCAAGAAGTATGAGTATTTATAGGGAAGAGAGAAGATATTGCAACGCATGTACCAAACAATTGGTTGACTGGATTGTTTTCAATCATCTTGATTGCTTATCGTTTCCGATCGATTATCTGAGTTCGGTTTTTCCATGTTCTGGTTGGTTGTCCTAGAACAAAGCAATTTTTAGGGTGCGTGTTGACTCCCTGAGATTATTTACTAATAGTAATCATCACCATACAGAACTGCTAGGAAAAGATGGAGACATGCCGAATATACACATACAGGTAAAAGCTGTAGGGTAATATAAATAGCCAGTTCATTCGTTGGATAACAGAAACAACAGGTATCCCACGATTTCGATCATGATAGAACGTGTTAGTTTTGTTTGCTATATCATTCAGTTGTTTCTAATCCGACCGTCAGTGCAATAAGTGATCTCTTTCATTGTCAGCTTCTGTGTTTTCTTTATGTTTGTTCGGTAATTTTAAATAACGTATGCATGACATACTTTCATATTGTTCATAATGAAGTGTATATCCTCTTAACACTTTCCATAGTGTTGTTTTTAGTAAATCCTCTTGTTTATTTGTTTTTTAGGGTCGAGTCATATTGGGCAACCGTCGCGCACGTTTCATGGCGTTTACCTATGCCCTAGTTATACATATCCTGATTTTCCTAGCATTGTATAATGCCGCCTACTTCCAAAGATCCGCTGATGAAGCTGAATCCAGCTGCATGTTACGGTGAGCCTGTGTGATTTTAGCTTCATTCACTCGTTTCTCCGGTTATATCCCTGGATATTGGTTTTTTCATTCTCATCTTGGTGGGAAAATACCTCCGCAACAGGACGGCAGTCAGTAGGGCTTCCTCACCAGAGACCTTTTGAAACGCTTGCTTGTATAGGAGTATTTTGGGCAGGGTAACCGACCATAACCCAAGACACCCGTCCCCGGTCATACAGAGGCTTTCGTAGACCCTTTAACGGTTTGATGATTTCTCTATTACACAATTTGGTGTGATGAACAGTAGACAGAGAGAGCCCTATAGTCACAAGGGTCTGTTGTTCAGTGATGGAAACCGGCAACCTAAGCCCGGGACTAGGAGTGGCGAACCACATAAGGCCCCTCTAGCTTAGGCGTGGTATTGAACCGAACGAAAGCAAAGCTGTCTATCATCAAAGTTGGGTGGCGGGGCTCGAACCTCAGACCATAGGGTCCAAAGCATGCACTTGACAGTGATTAAACCACTGCGCCACTATCACCATAGTGATAAAACGAGAAATGGTACTAGAACCCTTTGGTGTATGACGGTCCCCTGTAGGTGCCAGTCATTGACCACCAGTGTCACGCGATTTTTGTTCATTGTTTTATTATTATTATTAGGTACTGATCTTGCGGGTGTCATCGAGAGCCTCGTCTGAACCAAATACTGTCCGACTGGTATGTGATCTACTTATCACCTTTCAGTTCAGTTCAGGGTGCACTGGACTGATACTGGCCACGGCCAATCGAGGATCCAGAATTCTTTCAGTAGTATACTCACGGGATGGGTGTCCACCACTTCGATACCGAGTTCACTATCTTGGAGACGGATTACGGTTCATTGCAGTCGTTTTTCTCGTTCCTTGGATTGCCAGTGATTTCTTTTTCGCCCAATCCATCCAGTCAATAGTGTTTTTCTGTAAGACAGTGTATAGTATCAGATTCTTTACAAATATCCTAAAGCTCTGTCTCAATGGTTAGTCTGTGGACTGCCATTAGATACTCATGCAATCTGTCATCAGACCTACCATATCCTGCTCAACGTCGGGAAACAGTTCTGATCACTTCGTAATCAATACAATTTTGGAAACGTGAACTCTAAGCAGGTTGACTAGTTCTTCGAGCAATTTATTCTACCGGGTCACAATCCTATTGAAGTAATTTGGCCGCACACCTAATCTATTCCTTTTCTTCATCAGCTTGTACTCGTGACTCCTAGTACCCCTATGAGGGGCATTAGCGAAGAAATACTTATGGTATGCTGGTTAGTTAGACTTATTGCTCTGTGGTTTCTTGGTAACACACAACTCGTCCAGTTTTCAAAGTCGGAATGGGTTGGCAGAGCTATGAACGACCAACACGCTTTTGGTGGCTACGGCTATGTTTAAGCCCCACCACCGACGCCTAACTGTTCCCATTTATTTTTACCAGGTGGCTGTCTTACTATGGATCGCTTTCATCCCCCTTAGAATTATTTGTACTATCGTGTCTTCAGGAAAACATTTGGTGGGGGATAAAACACCAGTCTGCTCTTTTCATAGTATTTATTTTTGATGAGAAAACCAAATAGGTGTTCAGTAAAAAAACACTTATTGAGTTCGTCCCAGTTCAGACTGGAATTTCAATCTCCGATGTGTTGCAAATTGATCTAAGCATTTCACAGTAATCGTTTTAATTCGCGTATGTTCCGCTAGTCGTGCTGTTTTTGTTCCATAGGACAGAGTGAATTTTCCAAACTGGCTCAAGATTATCAGTGAATTATTCCAATATGTGTTTCGCTCAAATGTTACCTTTGCATGCGTCAATATTCTACTACCACAGAATGCTTTCTTTATCAGGCTGAATGCTTTTTATATCCAGGTATGCGGAGCACATACGGGCAGCCCATCCGGAAATGGCCAACGATAAAAAATTGTGATCGCTGCACAACGTGACGAAAATATGTCCCCAATCCCACCCCATCCCACCCCGGATCTGTGATTTCAATTGTACTTATGTTCTTTGCCTGCAGGGACAAATGAAAATTAATGCTGTCCCCCATTTCAAACGACTGAAATAGGGCGGTTTTTCATCTAAATTCTTTTGCCATGGGCCACTTTTACAGTGGAATGAATTCTTGATAAATGACTCATCCAGTGGTTCTCTATACTTTCCATGGGATTTCAAAACTAAGCTGTTTTATTTATCCTGTTGTGTTCGATCTAGGCGTACAATGACACGAGCGACTCTTGCTTAATCCCCAATAATAACGCGCAGAGAGAACACAGCTGAAGACGACAGTCAGCGTGTATTTTCCCTGATTAGATAGAACGAATCACGCACACGAGCACGGCGCAGTGACGCACCAATCAGATGGCATCCTCGACATATCGATTAATCGATCGGACAAACTGGTTGTGATCATCCAGTCGGGCTCAGTCTGTCTAGAGCGTGCGGCCCGACTCAGAGGCGTGCGCCATCGGACGGGTTGTTTAAGCTCGGTCCTAACAAAGTCAATTATTGAATATTTCCATCGTGACTTTAGGAAAACACTGTAGCGAACAAAGCTTGTTTTCGACAACTTCCTCCTCGGGCTAATTTAGTTATATACAGGGTTCGAAATTAGCAAATTAGTGTAGTGATCAGATGTGATGAATATGGTTAGTTGATTGTGATCTTGTGATGTGTGGTTTGGAAATGTGAGGGCAGTGTTGTTGTTGTTGTGTGGTTCGGAAATGTTCACAGTCGGTGGATAAAGCGAGCTGTTCCATTTCCGGTTTGTGCCTCTGGGTCATGACAAAGGTCACGGTGGTTTCGGTCGGCTGTCAGGTTGAGGCCAGGGTAAACGAAGTGACTGGACAAATCGTTTTTGAGAACAAAGGGACGGATTGAGTAGGCGAGTAGCCACCACGTCGGCTGTAGCAAGGTATCGTTGACGAACAGCTTTTGACGGGTTTGCTGGTACTTTGTAGATCACCTTGAAAGCGTCGTCGTTTGCTTGATGCCCCGTGTCTGCAAGGTGTTCTACCACCGCA